TGTAACTCTTGATTTGGCGTGAGCTTTCCTTATACACATACAGTATGCCCACCGTTGTTACATGTTGGTTGGTTTACCCACCTGTAATGCAGGTAATTCAGCTAATAATTCAGATCCTGTCTTGTGCTCAGGCAGTCAGTCTCCCAATGTATGAAGGTGAAGAAGGGCACTGGGCAGAGTGCTTACTGCCTTGTAATTGATCATCTCAAAGAAGTTGTGTACGACTCTGACATCCCATGAGCTGACTGTGTGACGATGCTGACATGTTGCACTTGGTCTGCAGAATCCTGTATCAGAGTCTCACTGTCTCAGCAGTGACCTGGTCACAAATACCCAGGCCTGGTATGTACAGAAAGAAGCCCAGAAAACAATCTTAGGTACTCTTTAGCAGAGATTGGGATGCAACCTATGGACATGGACTCTAGTTACAGTGGGGTCTCATGTTGACTCAACTCTGGCTTGTCTCAAACTTAAACTTGACTCAAGTCTTGGTCAGACTTGAAATTGAAGACTGATGACCTTTCAACTTGGATAAAAACAAAAGAGCAAAAGACTAAGAAATTAGGACCACCGACATGAATTAAGTCACCAGGAAAAAAGGATTGCCTTGAGCAGAACTACTTTCACAGGGGTGTTGAAGTCCCCAAAAGGTCCAATTTCTAAAAATATACAGTATACAAAACACAATACACATATGGGTTTTTATTTACAAATTTATGATTACTGAATTTATGATGCATACATTTTTAAAATATTTTCATTATATGCACTAACATAAATGGTATTTTGTTACAAACAGTACATAGTGCATGCAGTCCCTGATATTTAATTGTACAACAGCCACTCAAACCTCAGACCAGCTGTTTATTTACTATGTGGGTAAAACATTGAGACCTTTCTTGTCTAAGCAGAAGTTAGCCCATTGAGTGGTGATTGTCTAAAGGCTAAGGTGATGACAAGATGGACACCTTCTTTGTAAAACTGGATACTACAAATTCACCAATGACAACTGATGACAAAACTACATATATGCCTAATTTCAAAGTTTCACCATTTAATGAGTTATGAAACGGAGAAGACAGGTCGAGGAACTGCCGGCAAATTGTCTGTTATGCCTTCAAAAGTTATAATTTTCAATTTAGACCAAAGTAATTAAATAATATATAAAATTGTATTTAAAACCTTTGTAGGTACTATGCACAGATTGTACTGTACTATGTACTGTTACAGTAAACTGCATGACTGTATCCTGATATATCTCACTGGTAAAATATGAAAAGGATCCACAAGTCATTATCATGGCCTTTTTTTTGGCTTTTTGCAGTGTGGAAGCTGCAAAAATGCTACATTTGTTACACTTTCTGCAAACTTTGTAAAGAAGTGGGTCCCCTTCTTTTGATTTTGGAAATTTGTTGTTCTGGTGAGCTAGATTGTGGCTTTCAAATACTGCTGATTGTGGCTCTTCCTGACTCTTATTATGATTCCATTGATTAATGGCACTTACTGGCTCTGGTGATACCTCTGGTCTGCTGTACTCAATCACACTGTGAGCAGCGTGTCAGCAGTGCTCTGCATCTTCCTCCAGCAGATATATAAAAAAAAAAAAAAGCCATTATGCATCTCAAAGTCACTGAAGTAATGGTGTGAACAAACTGGTTGATCGGATTTGGCCCAAATCTCATCAGAGAATGATGCTGTTGGCCAGCTCCAGCAGTAAGCCTGAGGCATGTACTTTAAAAGAAAAATGAAAAGCTGTACCATGTGCTGTCCTTATTACAAACAACCTCCAAGGACTCCTTACACTTAAAAAAAAAAAAAAAAAAAAAAAAAAAAAAGTACACATACTACTCTGAGACATAGAGAGCAATTTGCTTGTACAGCATTTTTAAAAGCAAGAAGCTATCAGAAATGTAATAATTTCTGTGAATGTCCTGGGGAGCTTCTGTTTTGGTAGTTACACCAAATATTTCAAAGTGTCATTAGGGAGTAGAGGACATTCTGTAAAGCTTTCAGCTAATGGAATGATTAAAAGACCGCTGGGAAACCACTGCCCTAAGAATTGTTGCCACCTCATGGGAGGTCTGTTTTGTGTGTGTAAATGTTTTAAAGAGGGGATGGTGGCTTAGTGGTTACCACATTTGCTTCCGGGGTTGGGGGTTTGAATCCCACCTCTGCCCTGCATGTGCGGAGCTTGTATGTGCTCCATGGGCGTTTCCTCCGGGTACTCTGGTTTCCTCCCCCAGTCCAAAGACATGTGTTGTAGGATGACTGGAATTTCCAAATTGTGTGTGTGTGTGTGTGTGTGTGTTTGTGTGAGTGACCCTGTGATGGGTTGCCCTTAACCCTGATCAGGCTACCAGTCTAACTAACTACTAAGAGGTTATAATCTCCATCTTCATTGATCTTCACTGTGGGGATGGTGAAGAATGGTGTTGGCTTCCCGCCAAACCTAGAACTTTTTTGCCAAGGCCAAACAGTTCAGTTTTAGTCTCATCAGACCAGCGAATGGTGCTTTTCAAAGTCTGTGATATTTTCTTTTATAACCAAACCATTATTGATACTTTTCCAGAACTTTATTACAGTCTTGTTTAGATCCTCAGTCTTCATGTTGTTGTTGTTGTTGTTGATAATAATAATATGTTTTCAGGGTTGCTGGTGCGTCCTTCCGTTAAATATCTGAAATAGTTTTTCTTCAGTAGCTATTTTCCAGTTTGAAGTACATTTTAATGGTATTTGAGGCATACAACTTATTAACAGGAAGGATATTTGTTGGCGGTGGACACATGCCTGTTGACGCCATTGGAATCTAGTTCTACTTGTTGTGAGATGTTCTGTGTCTCTAAGAAACTTCCAGGAACCAGTGTATTTATATTGAGATAATGTGACAATTGATAATGAGATAATTGCACACGTTTGGACTCTGTTCAAGTAATTACATAACTTCTGTTAAATTAGCTCCAGAGCTAATTTAACGGTTTCACGGCAATGGGGATGAATACTTTTGCAACAAGCATAAGACTGAGAGGGTAAAAATACAGCATTGATCTATACTCAGAATCTATCTCACATGATTCGGGCTTGTGAGAGTAGTAACTTACCCTGAGGGCATTTGTGCTTGTGATCAGTTCTGTCTTACATGCATATCGCATTGTACTTGTACTTTGAAACTATGCATCAATTCACAAGGTTGGCAATCATGGTGCCTGTTTGGTACTTGTGGTGTGGAGTTGATATATTGAGATTTTGTGACCCGTATCAACACGTCACACCAAGGACTTATTTTAATTTCCCGTTTGTAAATCTAGAAAGACTACGTCCAAGCAATAGATAGAACAATAGACTGTTTTAAAATGAAAAAGACTCAGGGTTGTATTAAAAGACGGCAATGTTTACACCATTATCTCTTAATTGTTGTTAGACTGTGCAACATAAATCACTGTAAGCCAGTTTACAATGCGGGCTATGAAAAGTTATGATTGATGAGGTTTGCACATTTGCTATGAAATGCATCTATGTAAATAAATATCCAATCTCCATTTCTGTTTTCTAGTAACTAAATACTTCCCAAGCACCAAACAACACACATCAGATAATACAAAAAAAAAAAAGTTTAATTCTTTATGCGTTATGTGTTTGGCTTTTGAAATATAAATGAGCCTCTTCCACTTGGCCTCTCGACCCTTGTCTCCATTTTCTGACTTCTTTTCATCACTGTTACTTGTACTGCAGCTCCTTCTTTGTCTCACCTCCATTCTGCTCATTTTCTTCCTGCAATGCAATTTCTTTCATGTTTCCTTTTCCCACCCATCATTATTTCTCGGTTTCTCCATCTCTTCGTGAATTTCATTCTCCCCCTCTCTGTCTTGTTCATTTGTACTGAATTGACAGGAAGCTCAATGGAGGCACTGAACAAGACCTTTCACCCATGAGTGATGCATGATAGACAAGCACACACACACACACTTTTCCAACTGGCTTTGTGATTTGTGCTTGTGTGGGTCTTAACATGTAGCAGTATTCTTCAGGAATAGGAGGAAAGGCTGCATCAATTTTTCTCTCAGTCCCATAGATATGTGCCAACTCCACACACTATAGTCTTTCTTCTATTCACCTTCAGTAGCTGCTTTATCCTGGTCAGAGTCACAGTGAACTGCCTATCTTGGGAACATTGTGCATGAGGAAGGAATACACCCATGGGACACCAGACAATGGCAGGACACCATGCGTACACACATTCACACATTCATTCACAGCTATGCGTAATTAAGCATAGCCAATCCACCTAACAGCATGTTTTTGGGAGGTTGGAGAAAACCGGAGGACCTGGAGTGCCCAGGAACACATGGGGAAGAACATGTGAAACTCCACACAGACAGTAACATTAGGTCAGGATTGAACTTGTGACTCTGGAGCAATGAGCTGGAAATGCTACCTGCTGTCCCACCAACGTTACCCACTGCATTATTGTCCAGACTACTGAATTACCGATCCCAAAAGTGAAAGTGGTCACTCAGAAACAGGTTAAACTTCAATGTAATTCAACAGCACTTAGTGCATTATGCCCTAAATATTTAGCTATTTATCTAAATACACAATCTCTCAAAGATTTCCCTTTTAAAATAATTTTGAAATAATTTTGTAGGCATCAGAATGATCAAAATTACAGTCAAACAACTTGGAATACTTCATCCTAACCATTTCTAGCTTACATGTCGAGTAGTCTGAATTCTCAGAAATCTTTTAAGGAGGCTCACATTAGTTATAGTACACTGCCTCCCTATCTCAACGTAGAACATTTCCAGAGCTGTCAGATCTTCTCCTCCAACGTAAACAAAACCTTCACCTTTGCTGATGACAATCCATGTTAAAACTGTTGCTTGAGTCTGCAGGGTGTTGTCGTTTTGTGAAGAATGTGCCAATACAGAGAACACAGACCGACACTTGAATTCATTTACATCATTTGGCTGATGCTTTTATCCAAGGGCCCAAAAGCAGCAGCTTGGCAGTGCTGGGATTTGAAATCATGAACTTCTGATCAGTAGCCCAATGCCTTAACCATTGAGCTGCCACTGCCTCAAGAAGTTCTTTAAGACTAGCCAGAACTGGGGAGTCACAAGCCAGAACCTTCTTTTATAGTGATCATAGCTGTTATGTAAAGTACACATTAAATATCTTTCCAAATTCTTGTTCCATGTATGGGATACGCGAACACACAGCGTACACAGAAGACTATGTGATAGCTATACTTTCAAACCATACTGTATATGCGAATCTTGAATCGTAAACCACCATACTGTAGATGGTTGCTATGTGATGGAATTCAGTGCTTATCTGTTACATATTTAAAGGTCAAGTCATATTATCGTCAGTTAAAATGCCCCATCACCCCTTTATTCTCTACTCCTATTACACATTCCTCACTATCCCAACCCTAACTTGAGATGTCTCATACCTTTTTGCTTAATCAACAGTAATAAGACTACTTAGGCATTACAATGCATTGGTATGTAATAACATAGTGAGAAGTATGTGCGTAACTCTTGTCTTTGGAGAAGTGCAGGGAACTTGATTTTGTACCCAACCACTTAACTTTCCTGTACCACCTTTCTTCTTCTGTAGCTAAATGTTTTTGACTGGTGGGGTGAGGTTCAATGATCTTGTACAGTTTAAAATTTGCTATGCTATTTATCTGTCCTGAAGTGAATCTTTCTGTTCTCTCATTGAAAATTGGGGTACAGTTGGGTAGTTCATTCCAAAAAGTTAATTCATTGGGTGTCGACTCTCAACTGCTTATTATTAAAAATCACTAGACAGTATCTTATAGCACGAGTCCAGTGTGATAGCATCTCAACTTAATTTGGTTTGAGGCTATGTTAAGTTGTCCCGATCCACTAAAATACATGGTCGTGAGCCGTTCCTGCTTCACGTTTACCAATCACACACCCTCCTATGGGTTATCTCCCTTTAAAGAAACACATCACACACTTCTCCTCCTACCATCTCTCCTCCCCTTCATCAGATTTCTAAATTTAGCCAGCTGGATCTGTGTGAGAGAGAGAACATGGAGGTGCATCTGTCACTTTAACTCATCTCCCGAAATCAAAACAACAGATGTTAACTCTTAATTGCTTCTGGACACAATGTGCATCAGAAGTAGTTTCACGAGCGATGAGCTTCCACCATGTCTTTTGCTGTTTGTACTCAGATATCTTGTATTGGGCAAGCCAGAAACATGACAAATGAGTTGGCCATCATGGGTGTGTGTGAGCATAATTCTGGATGTTTTAGCCTGACTATGTAGTTTGAATTATTTGAATCTTTTGTTGGAGATAAGTTCTGTCGTATCTTGTAAAATTACTAGGTGGTCCAAGAACCACCTGCAAGGATCACTCTATGCTAATCCTCTTCACAGAACTGTAATTTGGAACACCACAAAGATCTGAAAAAAAAAAAAAAAGAGTAGATGGTGAAGGAAGTTCTATTTTGGACACTATTTCCCATGGTTAACTGAAACAAATTGACAACTATTTGTCAAGAACACTTGTAGCTTGTAACATGTAATGTGTAGCTTGCCTTGTACTGTATGGAAGTGCAGTTTCAACATACTGTGTGTGGATTCATATAGTGTTGCAGTGAGGTGGTATTTCTACCCACTCTATGAATGCTGAATGTCTTAATCCAGGTCAAAGTGATATATCTCCAAAAAGCAATATCTGAAATGTAATCATTGTATCTGTCTGTAAAAACAACAAAAAAAGTGGCTGCTGTTCAGGTTTGATAATACCTAACTTTAATGCATGTATGGCCCAGAAGCATTAAAACAACATAATTAAAGCAAGCAAGATTGATTCCATATTAAAAAAAAAATCCTCACTTTGGTTTTGGATGGTTTTGACAAGAAAACAGTACTGGTTCCATCAAGCTTCTCCAGTCAGTTTGGGATTCTATGTAAATCAATCATGAAAAGCTAGTTTGGTGTTTCTGATCAGGGAAAATGGAGGGTGGCTAGGCCTAAGTTGTATACTATATAAGGCAGAAAATGGCTCGAATTGTATGGATGTGTCTGTGCTTTTCCAAACTTCCAGAACAGAGAGGGGTGACGTATCAGTATATCTAACAGTGAAGGGAGAGAGAAGGAGAGAGAAGGAAGGGTGGGGGAGAATAAGGGACCTACAAGTCCCAAAATATCATGTCGAACAGGAACAGGATTCAATCGTGTTTATTGGCATCTGCAAACCAGAGGGAAATTAAATTCTACTCCCCTGGTATATTGCTTTTCTGGCCTGCTTCTGCTCTCTCTCTTTTTTAGCATTAGGCCAAGTAATAAGCACCTTCCAATGCCCCTAATTTCCTTGGTAATATGTATTTGTCTCTCTCTCTCTCTCTGTGTGTGTGTGTGTGTGTGTGTGTGTGTGTGTGTGTG